TACTCCTATGGCCGTCTCAAAACGCTTGCATGCCATGGGAAAGATCCATAAGAAAGGGAAATGGCTACCACATTAGTTGTCAGAAAGTGCCATTTCGAATCGTTTGACTATTGCGACTTCTTTGCTTGCCAAGCAAAGAAAAAAGAGTTTTTTGTGGCGCATCGTGATTGGCGATGAAAAATGGATTTATTTTGATAATCCCAAGCGAAAAAAATCACGGGTGGACCCCGGCCAACCATCCGCTTCAACGTCGAAGAAGAATATTCACGGTCATAAGACCTTGCTGTACGTTTGGTGGGACCAGGAGAGTGTGCTGTATTACGAACTCTTGGGTCCAAATGAAACTGTTACAGCTGATCACTACAAACAGCAATTGTATCGATTGAGTGACGAATTGATGCAAAAAAGATCATCCGTGGTCAACAATCGACGCAAAGTCATTTTGTTGCATGATAACGCTCGACCGAATGTCGCGAAAAGCGTGAAGCAGGCACTTCTAGAGCTTGAATGGGAAGTTTTACCGCATCCAGCGTACTCTCCAGACTTGGCACCGTCGGATTACCATCTCTTCCGATCGATGTAGCACGCACTTACGGACACACACTTCTCCAGTCACAACAAAGTCCAAAAATGAGTGGATGAATGGACCGCCTCGAAAGACACCGCATTCTACCGTCGTGGGATTGCCCTGTTGCCAGAGAGATGGGAAAAAGTAGTAGAGAATGGAGGAAATTACTTTGATTAAAGTATTCATTCATCTTCCTTTCGAAACAAATCAATTTTGGAGACGAAAAACGGCATGAATTAAGTTTAACACCTATAATGAAAAGATTTCCTAGAAATCCTGAACGACAAGCTGTATGGGTCAAAAATGCTAACCGAGAAGATTAGATACCAACATAAATAATTCACTTCTTTACGAAATTAGTATGTCTGAATTTTTTACAATAAAATGAATGAAATATTTAATGTAATTAAAATAAATATTTTTATTATGAATGTCATTAATATTATTAGTATTTACAGACAGTATGTGTATAATTGTTATCATCAATATTTATAGATTTTCAAATATTTCAGTTACTCTAATAAGTTTTTAATAAAAAATATTCTAAAAAATTTATGTATTCATTTCTCCTATTTGAATTTATAAGGTTATCTAAGTTTGAATTGGAGCGGGAGTTGCCACAAATGACGGACCAATCAAAAAGTTATCTCTCTCGTGTCTAGACTCTGGTATAGGGTCTCTACAATGAACATATTAAGAGCTGTAAGCTTATTGCTTACTGCGTCGCATTTTGCCGCGCGGCAAGTATTTCCACTGTGTTAAGCCATAAGTCCGTATAACAAATCAAACTAACCAAGTCTTCTTATAAATCTAAGAATTGGAAAGAGTAAGGGCACTAGGAGTCAGGCGCAGAAGACGTCGCGCAAATAGTATACCTATGAAGCGTGAAACTTCTTTATTCACTAAACACGCTTACATGTTTCGGTTCACTTTTGAGCCTTCCTCAGAGCAAACACAAACTAACATATAATTAATTATATTCTTAAAGCTTTTTGATAAATTAAGCCAGCGGCACACGATGCTTTTTTTCCTGCTGGATTGCTTGCGTGCTACTGTGCTGGCAATCTGACTGGCTG